ACTCTGTATGTATTTCTTTTGCTGTGCAGAAGCTCTTTGAGTTTAATTAGATTCCCATGTGTCAATTTTGGCTTTTGTTGCCGTTGTTTTTTGTTGTGTTTTTGACCCTGAAGTCCTTGCGCGATGCCTATGTCCTGAATGGTATTACTAGGTTGTTTTCTAGGTTTTTAGGTTTTAGGTTAACATTTAGAGGTCTGGGCTATCAGTCTTGAAATTAGATTTGTCGTATAAGAGTAGAAAGCGACTCCGCAGCTCCCCTCTCAGCTTTGTCGTTATGGCGTAGCCAATTGTTTCCCAGCTACCATTTTTAAATAGGGAATGTTTCCCCATTCTGTGTTTTTTCAGGTCTTGTCAAGATCAGATGGCTATAGATGTGTGGTTATTATTTCTGAACTCTGTTCTGTTGGCCATTAGTTTATATCCTGTTTGGTACCCATAGGTAAGCCATGCTGTTATTTGGTACTGTAGCTTGTAGTATAGTTTGGAAGCTCAGGTAGAAACGTGATGCCTCCAGCTTTGGTTCTTTTGGATTAGGATTGTCTTGGCATGGTGGGCTCTTTCTTGGTTCCATATGGAACTTTAACAGCTTTTTTCCAATTCTGTCGAAGAAACTCATGGTAGCTTAATGGGGATGGGCAATTGAATCTATAAATTACTTGGGCATATGGCAATTTTCGACGCAATTTGACGTTGTTCCTATCCATGGCATGGTATGTTCTTTCCATTTGTTTTGTGTCCTCTTTTATATCAGCTGAGCAGTGGTTTGGTAGTTCTCCTTGGAGGAGGCCTTTACATCCCTTGTAAGTTGGATCCTAGGTATTTTATTCTCTTGAAGTTATTGTAAATGGGAGTTTCTTCATGATTTGGCTTTCTTGTTTGTCTTGTTACGGGCTGTGTAAGAATGCTTGGTGATGGTTTTGCACAATTGATTTTGTATCTGAGTACGTTTGCTGAAGTTGCTTATCAGCTTAAGGGAGATTTTTGGCTGAGGACATGGGGTTGTTTAAATACTACAATCATGTCATCTGCAACAGGGACAAATTTGACTTCTTCTTTTCCTAACTGAATAACCCTTGATTTCTTTCTCTTGCCTGATTGCCCTAGCCAGGAACTTCCACACTATGTTGAATAGGAGTGGTGAGAGAGGGGCATCCTGTTTGTGCCAGTTTGTCAAAGGGAATTTTCAGTTTTGCCCCATTCGAGTAACTTGAATGCGCTGATGGGATTTTGGTGTGGGTGTCCTTTCTGTTTGTTAGTTTTCCTTCTAACAGTCAGGACCCTCAGCTGTAGGTCTGTTGGAGTTTTCTTGAGGTCCACTCCAGACCCTGTTTGCCTGGGTATCAGCAGCAGAGGCTGCAGAAGATAGACTATTGCTGAACAGCAAGTGTTGCTGTCTGATTCTTACTCTGGAAGCTTCGTCTCAGGGGTGTACCCCACCGTGTGAGGTGTGAGATGTCAGTCTGCACCTAGTGGGGGATGTCTCCCAGTTAGGCTACTCAAGGGTCAGGGACCCACTTGAGCAGCCAGTCTGTCCGTTCTCAGATTTTAACCTCCCTGCTGGGAGATCCACTGCTCTTTTCAAAGCTATCAGACAGGGGCATTTACCTCTGCCAAGGTTTCTGCTGCTTTTTGTTTAGCTATGCCCTGTCCCCAGAGGAGGAGTCTATAGAGGCAGGCTGGCCTCCTTGAGCTGTGGTGGGCTCCACCCAATTCGAGCTTCCCTGCAGCTTTGTTTACCTACTTAAGCCTCAGCAATGGCAGATGCCCCTCCCCAAGCCTCACTGCCGCCTTGCAGTTAGATCTCAGGCTGCTCTGCTAGCAATGAGGGAGGCTCCGTGGGCTTGGGACCCTCTGGCCCAGGTGTGGGATATAATCTCCTTGTGTGCTGTTTGCTAAGGACCGTGGTAAAGTGCAGTATTAGGGTGGGAGTTACCTGATTTTCCAGGTGTTGTGTGTCTCAATTTCCTTTGGCTAGGAAAAGGAATTCCCTTCCCCCTTGTGCTTCCCAGATGAGGTGATGCCTAGTCCTGTTTCAGCTCTCGCTGGTCGGGCTGCACCAGTGGACCAGCACCAACTGTCCAACACACCCCAGTGAGATGAAGCCGGTACCTCAGTTGAAAATGCAGAAATCACCCGTCTTCTGTGTCACTCACACTGGGAGCTGGAGGCTGGAGCTGTTCCTATTCAGCCATCTTGCAGCTCCCGAACTTTAAAAAAAAAAAAATGGATTTCAAGGATTTCCTTTATTTTCTTTCAAGCTGTCTGTTACAATTTATCCAGAATCTAGCTGAATTACAGAAGGAAGTTTTTGACTACTCAATTTATGTATTGTGGAGTCTGAAGTGAAGGGAACATCCAAGGTATGTTTAAGGGTTTGCCAGGGGACCTGGGGTCCCTTCAACATTTTAAGCTGTCCAGGAAGAGGAAAGGGTAAACACAGAACAATCAAGGGCTGTTTTGTTCCAGGCTCTCTTTAGAGGCATGACCATAAGCCCCACTTTCTGCTGTATTGGAAGCCCTCCCTGACTGCTCTGATAATGCTAAATGGAAATGGCTACTATCTTCTTTTCCCTACACTTTAGGCTGTGTACAATTATCTATTATAGGATATGTATCATCTTATCTCTCAGTCAACTTTACATCGTCAGCACATAGCAGTTCTCCATAAGTGTTTGTTAAATACATGAATGAAGCTGGGTGCCGTGACTCTTGCCTGTAATCCCAGCACTTTGGGAGGCCAAGGTGGGTGGATTGCTTGAGCCCAGGAATTCGATATCAGCCTGGGCAATACAGTGAGACCGCGTCTCAAATTAAAAAACAAAAAAAGGAAAAAACTGCATGAATGAATGAGTCCAAGACAAAGGCACTGGAGGACAAAACATATATGAAGAGTGGACCCTTTCTGTGATTTAAAAGTAAACATGAAACTTTGGACAACTTTTCAAGATGCTAAATTTTCATGAACAAGCCAACTGCTAAATATTATTTAAAGATATGGGAGTAACTAACTGAAAAAAGAGCAAAAGCAAAAAAACTGGCTGCTTCTGAATCGTGCAAGGAAAGGTAAGAAAAGGTGAGTCAGGGATTTATCCTTTTTCTGCAAAAGCCCTCTACATGGTTTTGTTTTTAACTACAAACTATTTAATTACTATGTATAGCTTTATAAAAGTTAAAATATTTAAAATGAAAAATTAGTCAATTTTTGGCCTACTATAAGTCAAAGCATCCTGCTGTGCTTTTGACCTCATACAGTTGAGTACAGTTTTTGTTTTTTTTTTTTAAGTTTTGTGCCAAGAGTCCTGACTACCAAAGTATGTTGACCCTAAGCTTGGTTGACAAAGCTTGGTTAACCAAAGCTTGGTTAACAAATAAACAGAACTTTGAACTTTAATAAGGAAGTTCTAATGGACCTAGACTGGGTTGGGCAGGCCTACTGACTGCTGCCTGAAGGTGGCTGTAAAGGGACTAAGTAAATCAATTAACTCCACAGTTTTCAAAAAGGTCTCTTGATATCAAAACTTCTTTCCTTACATGCTTCTCTGATCCTGTGGAGATGAAAATTGACATCCATAGTCATATTCTACCAAAAGAATGGCCAGATCTAAAAAAGGTAATGGTAATTAATTTGCTGAATTATTTCTGAAACTTCTCCAGGGTTTCTCATTGCCTTTCTCTTCTTTATGGAATTAGATGTCTAGTTTATCTGCTTTGGTGGGGGGTAGGGGGACTTAAATTATATGGTAGTTCTGATTTCCTAGTTTTTAAAAATGACTTTTACATTTATTTTGAAAGAACATTGGATTAAAGAAATAAGCGCTTTCTCAGAATCCCTTTTTTCCCTCAAATGAACCATTCTTTAAAATTTCCAGACAATTTAAGTAAAGCAGATTTACCTTTTTTAAAATCACATATTCAGCTGCTGGGAAGATACATGCCAACTACAGAATTTAAAATTACAATTTTAAATAAAAGACTATTAAAAATGGAATGTGATCGGTTTCGAGGACTTCTAAAATATATCTCCTTTTCAAAATGTTTAAAATAAGTTTTAGAAGCACCAAGAGATAGCTTTGTGAATTTTTTTTTTTTTAGTCTATTTTAGGACACTGCCTGAAACCTTTACTTTTTGATGTTCTTTATTCTATAAATCTTTGTCATGAAGAAGTAGGAAGTAGGTACATCAAAAAAACCCAGAATAAATGACATGAAACTTTTGCACAGTGACATCTACTAAAAGAGTATTCTTTGTGTTTCTCTAAAGATGGAAATTTCCTTTTGTCATTAAGAACTTTTGAATGAATACAAAAAGAGGAAGGTGAGGAACATGAAGGAAATGTAAAATTGGCTAGAGGCTTGTTCAGGCTTAATATCAGGTTTTACCCAATCTTCAGCATTCTGCCAGTACTTTCACCCCACCAATAATGTTTCATCTTTTTTATCCCAAGTAAGGGAAAATGAATTAACCCAAACTTGAATTAAATGTGGTTCATTGTGCAGGTAGATGAAAGTATTTTCTTCTCATAGTTGTCTCATAGAAGAATGTTTTTCTTAAGTATTTCTTTGTCCATTGGTATCTTAGGTAAGATGGGTGGTAGAAACCGTATATTGAAAAATACAAGTGATCTTTGAAAGCCTATCCTATATACAGCTAAGGATAAAAGCTAAACCACTCAACCTGCTCTTCCTAAAAGGACTCTACATGTTGACACAGGAACATGCTGTTCTGAGTGCTGTTGTCCTCATCAGAGTTTACTGAAGTGTAAACCGCTTCACAATGTTAATGATTTCATGAAGGGAATGCACCAGTTCCTTTGTGAGAGTGCATCTGCGTTATTTAGAAGCTGCATGCAGTTTCTTACATCATGTGGTGCCCACCACTTTCTACCCCTCGTTTATGAGCATTTGCCTGACGAATGATGCAATGAACACATTGATTAATTTGTGAACACAAGAAGAAATAGATTATACTCCCTAATCTAAGAGTTTTGGTAAAATCCAAATTTAATATTTGGTATTTTAAAATAGCCATAATCTATACCTAGCAAATGGCACTAATTCCTCTGTTACAGCTTTTTTCTCTATTTGAGTATGAAAGAACATCCACATGAAATGCTTTGGAAACCACCATGGTGGTCTCTAGAGGACAATGCCCACCTGTACTATCCCACTGAGACAGTTAGCTAGCATGACCGACCCTCCAAGCAGGGCTCCAAGCTCCAGGGCATACACCTCCTTGTGCAGATAGGATTTTGAGGCTTAAGAGAGCTACAGTCTGAATATGTACATCTCCCCCAAAATTCAGGTGAAACCCTAGCCTACAAGGCAATGGTATTAGGAAATGCAGCCTTCTGGGGGTGATTAGGTCATGACAGCAGAGCCCTCATGAATGGGATTAGTGCCCTTATAAAGTAAGCCTAAGGAAGCTTGTTCACCCCTTGTACCACGTGAGGGCACAGCAAGAAGGCACCATCTTAGAACCAGGAAGCCGGTTCTCACCAGATCTTGGACTCCCCAGCTTCCAAACTCCCTCTCCTTTCTATCATCAGCTATTGCTTTAAAGAGGGAGAGAAATTTTGTCCCAATAAACCAGGTTTCTTCTTCTTTTTTTATTTTTATGTATTTATTTTTATTTCCATATGCTATTGGGGAACAGGTGGTGTACGGTTATATGAGTAAGTTCTTTAGTGGTGATTTGTGAGATTTTGGTGCACCCATCACCCAAGCAGTATACACTGCACCCAATTTGTAGTCTTTTATCCCTCACTCCCTTCCCACCCTTTCCCCCTGAGTCCCCAAAGTCCATCATGTCATTCCTATGCCTTTGCATCCTCATAACTTAGCTCCCACTTACGAGTGAGAACATATGATGTTTGGTTTTTCATTCCAAACCAGATTTCTTCTTATGTAGTAGTCTCACATGCTGCAAACAGACAGCTGACACTTCATCACCACCATCTACATCATTTTCATCATTACAGTTACAATACTTCGTACTTCTAGGGAGAGACAGAGGGAGAAATAATTTACATAAACCTTGCAAAATATGCAGATAAGATTTATACTATTCACTTGACAGATGAGATGCTTGAGACTCAGAAATGAACCTAGAATCCCAGAGCTATGTGGGCCACCACAGTCCCTCAAGAGCCTCTCCATCACCACATCCACCCTGAGAAAACTGGCCTGAGAGAGTACTGCTGCTGGAATAACCTTGACCTTCTTATACAATGAAGAGACAGAAAAGTAGAATCAACATGCCTGAAGTGATGGTTAACTAATGATGACAAAGGGCTGGGATTTGAGAAATCTTTTCATTTTCACTTGCTAATAATAATTTTAGTCAGAGTTACAAGTAGTATCCTGGAAAAAAATATGTATCCGAAGTATAAAGACAGTGGATTCAGAGATACTTGATCAAATTGTTTCTGCTGAATGAGGACCCACACCCTCTGCTGTCACAAACAGGAGGTGGGGCCCAAGAAACTGTGGCAAAAGATGTTTCAGGTTGATCTGCAATGGATTATTCACAGCAACAATGAGGATGATACAGTTTCAGCTTTTTCCTCCAGCAAGGCTTTATTGACAGCCTACTGTCTGCCCAATATTAGGGCTTGCAAAGATTCTTCTAATTATAAATGGAGCAAAAAATTCTGACCTCCAATATAAAAATCATATACTTACACCTTCTTTTGTTAGCAATTGCACTTGATCAGTACAAGGCTTTAGAAGACAAAATCCTAGACATCATTTGATTTTTAGAAAATCCTTCTGAGGAGATAAATATCTGGTTTCATCACCCAGGAGGCTCATTATTCACCTCATGGAGGTGTGATGTCCTCAACACATTAACAATGGTCATCCAGTTCATCCACTTTGATTCATATATGTGCATTTCAGAAACATATCTCTTGTATATAAAACTGAATTTCCTGGAATGTTTTCAATTTGCTTTTTATTTGGCATGCTCATAAATGCCCACGAGACACTGGTTATTGTCAAACACTTTCAGATTTTAGATGCTTCCTGGGGCATATGCTCGGACCAAAACCACTCCCAGGGTCATAAATTTTAGACCCCAGGCTCGGCTCAACCTGGGATGAGAACTGAGGGTCTATGTCAAGCACAGACCTGGAGAAGAATAAAACTGCCCTGAATAAGTTGGGTCTTTGCAAGGGGCCTGTGAGGTAAATTGGCACTTTACACTTTCCAGGAAAGGGAGGGAGGGACACAGAGGGGCAAAGGGCTCCTTTCTTCACAGCTCTCCTTAGTTCTGACCCCAGGGTATTCTATTTGGGGTTGGAATAAGACTGTCACCACTACTGCCACCCCGACCACCATCCCCACTGCTACTATCACCACGGCTGTCACTGCCACCACCATCACCATCAGCCACGATGGGTACCACCACTGCCACCACATTCACTACTTCTGCCACACCACTACAGCCACCTCACTCCCTCCACCATGCAATTAGTGCCCCCACCGTCACCACCATCACCATCAGCATCACTGTTAGCAGGAATGAATGAAGCCCTGTCCACTGGCCAGGCCTGGTGTCAGCAGCTTTATATGCACTATCTCACCTAATTCCCCTGAAAACTTATGTCCCAGCCACTCCTGTTAGCCTCATTTTTATTAATACACATAGGGAAACAGTGACTTGGAGACATTTCACGCCAACAAAGTCAAGTGTCTTGTAAGTGACTTGTTGCATGTGGGAGGATCCCTCTGCTCCGCCTTTCCTACCTCCCTGCCCTTCCCCAAATGGAACACTTCTCTACCTGCTAGCATATGGGTTAGAGTTCCTTACAGAATTATGAAAAAGTAACAAAGAAAGAGAGTGAGGAAGAAGGGGGAGAAAGCAGGCAGCAGAGAAAGAAGGAAATAAAACCCTTTCTTCTACATGAAGGATAAAAGTTCAACGGCAAATTTCCAGTTAAAGAGCACAGTCTTAAGTTTACTCTAAAGTGTAACTGATTAAGGTCATATTCCATCCCCCGCCCCCAACATATCTCTCTTGGCAGCTTTTTCCAAGGGAAAAGAAGGAAAAAGTACAAAGGTATTGAATGCATGAAGGGCGAAAGCAGGGGTTGGGGGCACGAGCAAAGGAGAGGCTGGGTGCAGGGAGGAGAAGCTGAGTTTCAGCCGACAGTCTCCCTTGCCTGCCCAGCCTCCAAAACCGAGTCTGCGGATGTCACTGGGGAGGAAACAGAAGATAGATTTCTAAAGGTAATATGATTATTTGGGGCTAGGACTCAAGAACAGACCTTTTACCTGGGTGGAATAAGACTGGTATAGAATTAATCCAAACCTCACGAAGCTGTTGAGGCAGACCCCAGGCACAGACACAGAGACACAAACACCTCTATGACGCACTGTGGCCCAGGCCCAGACCTTCCCCTTGGTCTAGAGGTGAAGGGAGCTAAGAAGGGTCCACCAAGACCTGACTCCCTACAGACAACTTCCCTGCACTGCGGCATGAGAATCAACTGCTGTACCCTGGCCTCATCCAGCCACAACAAACGAGAGGTTGAGCTGATGTTCAGCTTGCTTTACTCGCTGACCCATCACCGCTGACCAACTCAAAGTCGTTAAGGAGCTCCCTCATGTAGCTATCTCCTGCCTCCATTCCTTCCCTCTGACACCACACTGTGACAGCCATGCAGGAAGCGTGAAAATCCTGAACACTAGAAGATCCTCTCCAATCTGACCCCAGGACTACCTTTTCAATGTCCCTCCCAATACCACAGCCCAAAGTGTGAAGTCAGCTCCCTCCCCAAGGCCCCCAGAGCACCTGTGCCTCATGGTCACAGTACGTCTCACATGCCATGATGTGGCCCTTTGATTCCTTGCCTCCCCCAGCCTTAACCTCCCAAGACTCTGGTCCACATGGGCTGGAACTGTCCTTCCCTTTTATTTTCTCTTCCCTAGTAAGACTTGTCACAGATGGGATTCCATGAAAGCGTGAAGAAGGAATAATGATATGATGCAGTATGATACATGATAAAGCCAGTAGTTATTTGAGTCATACTTACCTATGTTTTCAGTCAGTGGCTTTCCACAGTTTTTATGCATGATTCCCAGGCGAAAATCTATTTTACGTTGTGACTCAGTACAAACATTTATATACACTAAATGGGAAGAAAAAATGTTATGAAACCATTACTTACTACATGGGAGACATTCTAATTTATTCTATTCCTTTCCATTCCTTTACTCTATGATTTCCAAGAAGCAGACCCTGAGACAAGGATTCAGAAACAAGTAGTTTGCTTTGGAGGTGATCCCAGGAAACACCAGTAGAGTGAGGAAGTGAGACAGGGAAAATAAGGCAGCCAGTGAAAGGTTTGCATTCCAGAGCAAAATGTATGCCTCATCTCTGCGTTATCCAGACCGAGGGGTGGGATACGGTGTGTTCAGTGTATTTATATACAACTCCCTCAATTATCTGTTAAGGGCTGTTGGGCCGAGGGGATGCAGGGAGCTAATTTCATAGTACTTCTTATCTGCTAGGTTGGCTTGATCAAAGCAGGTTCCCGGGGAAAGCCCTCAGCCAATGAAATGCAGGCACTGGCTGATGGAGGTGGGCTGGTATGCACAGAAGTGTCAAAGCGAAGGGATACAAGCGGGACACCAACAGCATCTGCTACATACATGATTTCCTGTTTTAAAATGTTTGAGTCCCTATCCACTAAACTGATATCACAGTCTACTCATGGATTGCAACGCAGAGTTTGAAAAGCAGTGTATTTCCTAAAGAGTGGTCCTTAGGGGCGATGTACTCCTGGTAACCTGTGACGTGATTTTAGGTGGTACATGAACAATATTTTTTCATGTTAACCTTCATTTAAAAAATTCAAGCTGCATTAGGGGAAAAGATAAAAGCAGCACTGCTGAGATAACAGAATTTTCTTCTTGTGTAAATATATGGAAGGAAAAATGTAAGTGAATTTAATTGTAAATACTAAATAGGCGATACATGGGTATGGGGGAAATGGGAAGGCAATGCTTGAAAGGTGGAGCTCAGGATCCTCCGTGCTAAGCATGCCCCTTGATTGCAGCCTGGTCTTTGCTCTTTGACTCTAACTGTGCTTCTCCCCACTGCAGAGGTTTGGCTATGAAGGCTGGGTGCAGCTCCAACACCACAGCAAGGTGAGTTTCTTCCAAAGCATGAACATCAGTAGGACTCAGGGACAGCTAAGCCATGGGATACCTCACTGCAGGTTCCCCTCCAGGGAACCCCACTCTTCTGCCCGTGTATTAGCTTTGTTGTAGGCAAGGGAATAGCACTGAGATTTCTCAGAATAATTGGGAAAAATGGAGGTGACTTCAAAGAGTAGTATTTAGGAAGATAAAATTGGAATTTGAGAACCCATTAAAAAGTCTCTCTCTCTCTCTCTCACTCCTCCCCCCGCCACCAACCAATTTCAGCATTTATTGCTCTGCCTCAAGGAAGTGACCTAGTGCTACCAGTTATTACAGTACATTAAGGCTGACCAAATAAATGGGACAGTTAGGTTTGAGCATAAGCTGGAAAAAATAAACAATGGAGACAAAGGAGAGAAGACAGTGTTACTAAGGGTTGAGTTCGGTAAGAGGAAAAAGCAAAAAGAAGGCGGCTGTGGGCAAAGCCCTGTAGAAATAATGAGGCCCAAGAGGGAGCTGGGAGTCTAGATCTGCCCAGGGTATGGGTCTGATTTCATTTTCAGAGGCATCATACGTCCTCTTCAAGTTCAGAGGTAATATTTTTGAGCTTCCAGCTGGCATACAGACATGACTAATGCATGCTCTGGAGGACTTGTGGTCTGGAAATCCAGTTAATGTGCAGTTAACCCAATGCAGCATGGAAAGGTTAGGGCTCCCTTTACATCAGGTTCTAAGGGGCAGAGATTTGGGCACCAAGGAGCAGAGAAGGCCTTCTGAAGGAAATGATGCCCGTCCCACATCTTAAAGCAGGTGGGAGGCTTGCCTAGGGAATGAGGAAACCATGTTCTAGGAAAAAAGAAAGGGAACAAAGGCATGAAATATTAAACATATGTGAGCTCAGAAGCACTCAGCTATGGATGGTACCAGCATTTCTCAAACTGTGGTCCCACAACCAGCAGGTTCACCATCACCTGGGAACTTGGGAGAAATGCAAATTCTCAAGCCCTGCCCCAGTCCTACCAAATCAGAACTCTAGAGGTAGAGCAAGCAACTTGTTTTAACAAGCCTCCTGGTGATTCTGATGCAGAGTCAAGGGTTTTTTTAATTAGTAATTTTTTTAAAGACAGGGTCTCGCTCTATTGCCCAGCTGGAGGGTAGTGATACAATCACAGCTCACTCACAGCCTCCAACTCTGAGGCTTAAGTGATCCTCCCACCTCAGCTTCCCAAGTAGCTGAGACTACAGGTGCACACCACCATGCTCAGCTAACTACTTTTTTATTTTTTAGACTGGGGGTCTCACTATGTTGCCCAGGCTGACCTCAAACTCCGGGCCTCAAGTGGTCCTCCCACTTCAGCCTCCCAAAGTAGCGCATTCAAGTTTGAGAACCACTGGCTCTCGCACGTTCATTCACTGACTCACTACTTTTTATTGAAACTCGTTTTGTGTCAGGCCCACCAACCTAGACACTGGGAATATGCTGGTGGACAAGACAGACATCGTCCCTGCTCTGATGGTGCTCAGATTCTAGGGGTCACGAGTCAACATGATCAATTCAGAGAATGGAATATAAAGCAGTGATGTGATAGAGAGCAAGAGGCTGGCTGGTCAGTGACCTGGCAAAGGCTCTGAAGATGAGAAGGGAACACTTGGAAAAGTGTTCCTGGCTGGGGGAACAGCAGTTGCAAAGGCCACCAACTGGTAAAGAGTTTATGTGGTCAAGGAACAGAAAGGAAGGCAATGTGGCTGAAATGCAGTGAAAGGGGGAGACAGTAGGAAATGGGCTGGCAAGGTAGGCAGAGGCCTGGACACATGGGGACTTGCAGGGCATGCTAAAGAGTCTGGATTGCATTCTCAAAATAATGCAAATTCTTCAGAGGCTAATAATGCACATTCTTAGTGGCTTTAAAAGACCACTTTGGTTGCTCTGTGGAGAACACATAGATGCAGACAAGAGTAGGGAGAGCGAAGAAGCAGCAAGAAGATGGAGAGGAAGCCAGAAACCTCATCAGACAGGGTCATGAAGGATTTAGGGGTTTAGGCCCCAAAATGAGCTTAGGGCTTTGAACTTGATCCTGAAGACAGTGGGGAACCACTGAAGAGTTTTTTGGGATATATATATACACACACACACACACACACACACACACACACTTTAAGTTATGGGATCCATGTGCCAAATATGCAGATTTGTGGTTCACTGCACCCATCAACCCGTCATCTACATTAGGTATTTCTCCTAATGCTACCCCTCTCCTAGTCCCCTACCCCCGACAGGCTCCATTGTGTGACGTTTCCCTCCCTGTGTCACGTGTTCTCATTGTTCAACTCCCGCTTATGAGAGAGAACATGCAGTGTTTGGTTTTCTGTTCCTGTGTTAGTTTGCTGAGAATGGTTTCCAGCTTCATCCATGTCCCTGCAAAGGACATGAACTCATCCTTTTTTATGGCTGCATAGTATTCCATGGTATATATGTGCCACTTTTTTTTTTTTTTTTTTTTGAGATGGAGTTTCGCTCTTGTCACACAGGCTGGAGTGCAATGGCACAATCTCGGCTCACCGCAACCTCTGCTTCCCAGGTTCAAGCGATTCTCCTGCCTCAGGCTCCCGAGTAGCTGGGATTACAGGCATGTACCACCAGGCCCAGCTAATTTTGTGTTTTTAGTAGAGACAGGGTTTCTCTATGTTGGTCAGGAGGGTCTCGAGCTCCCAACCTCAGGTGATCCGCCCGCCTCGGCCTTCCAAAGTGCTGGGATTACAGGCGTGAGCCATTGCACCCAGCTGGCCACATTTTCTTTATCCAGTCTATCATCCATGGGCATTTGGGTTGGTTCCAAGTCTTTGCTATTGTGAATAGTGCTGCAGTAAACATACGTGTGCATGTGTCTTTATAGTAGAATAATTTATAATCCTTTGGGTATATACCCAGTAATGAGATTGCTGAGTCAAATGGTATTTCTGGTTCTAGATCCTTGAGGAATCACCACACTGTCTTCCACAATGGTTGAACTAACTTACACTCCCACTAACAGTATAAAAGCATTCCTATTTCTCCACATCCTCTCCAGCATCTGTTGTTTCCAGACTTTTTAATGATCACCATTCTAACTGGCTATCACTAGTTAGAATGGTATCTCATTGTGAGATGATATCGCATTGTGATTTTGATTTGCGTTTCTCTAATGACCAGTGATGATGAGCTTCTTTTCATGTTTGTTGGGCACATAAATGTCTTCTTTTGAGAAGTGTCTGTTCATATCCTTTGCCCACTTTTTGATGGGGTTGTTTTTTTCTCGTAAATTTGTTAAAGTTCCCTATAGATTTTGGATATTAGCCCTTTGTTAGATGGATAGATTGCAAAAGTTTCCTCCCATTCTGTGGGTTGCCTATTCACTCTGATAATCATTTATTTTGCTGTGCAGAAACTCTTTAGCTTAATTAGATCCCATTTGTCAATTTTGGCTTTTGTTACCATTGCTTCTGGTGTTTTAGTCATGAAGTCTTTGCCCATGACTATGTCCTGAATGGTATTGCCTAGGTTTTCAAGAGTTTTAAACATCACTGTCTCTGAGGCAGTTCATCCTCATCTTCTTCAGTGTGTCCACTAAGTGCCAATTCAAACACTGTGCTTCACTTCTCCAATTCAAAATGCTAGTTTCTAGACCAGGGTCTGATGCTCTAAGCTGGCCTTAAGTCTCTCCGATGGAAAGTATGATATGAATGGAGCTGACGGCAAAGCAGCTAGGAAGCCCCAGCTGCAGGGACAGGGAGCTGCGATTTTTTCTTACTCCATGTCCCTGTCTTCAGTTTGTCCTTCAATAGTGGATTTGAATGGCCTTCATTTCATTTTGTTTTAATACCAAGAAATTTCATAAACTTAGTAGCCAAATCTCCAAAAGAAAACAAAAAGGAAATATTTTCCAGTCACATCTACTGACTTATTTATTTCCAGCAAAATTTGATACAATGGTAATCAAATAGGACAAAAGAGTAACACACTCCCTCTCTCTCAAAAACAAAACAAAGCAAACCAAAACAGACTCAGTCTGTATTTTTCATAATTACAGTTGTCAGGGATTCGAGTTCATCGAAAACAATATGCAAATGTAAATGATATGCAAATGTATGCAATTACACAAAGCAGGCTGAGAGCGATGAGAAAATCCAGGATTTGGGATTTGAAAATAATTCTTACTCTCCTATGTTCCTCTAGTGAAGAAATATTTTCTGCCCCCAGGATTGGCTTACCTGGAGATTCCTGTTCTCTCAAACGTCTTTCCAAAACATTTCTCTGGTTTGTCCCATTTCTCTTCTTAACTCTTGGTTTTTCAGTGCTCCCCAAACAAATTGAGGGGTAGTCATTTGTCACGACAAAGCCTTGCTCAGAACTGAAAAACATTATTTGTCTTTTGATTGAATATTTATTAAAGTATAAGCAGCAGGCCAGTCCTTGGTTTGTATGACAACCTGCCAGGAGCTGCATGGGGTGGGGGCAGAATTGTGCCCTGATGGCAAAGACACCTGGGAGCATTTTAAAGCCTCCGACCCAGGAGGGTAGACACGGGTCTGCTTCAAAGCTGTAGGTCAACAGCATCTAGAAACACACAATGAGCTCGTCCCAGGGCCTTGGGAACACACACACACACACACAGACACATGCAAACATTTGTATCACACTTAGGATTTTTACATACATAATTGTCAGACCCCTCACTCTTATGGACCACGACCCCTCACTCTTATGGACCATATTTGTGTTCCCCCACCCCAAATTCATATGTCAAAGTACTAACCCCTTTAAAAATGAAATAGATTGTAAAACAAAATAGCAGAATGCACTGCTTATGGCAAGAATAAATATTGTTTCATAAAACTTCTATCTCAGTTTGTGTCTGTACAAATAGATATATATGGGTATTCTCAATGACAATGAAAAATAGCTTTTTTTTTTTGAAATGGAGTTTCGCTCTTATTGCCCAGGATGGAGTGCAACGGCGCCATCTCGG